TACCTATTCTTATTCTTTTTATTTCTTTCTCTTGTCTAATGGCTGTAGCTAATGTTTCCAGAACTATATTGAATAGGAGTGGTGGTAGAGGACATCCTTGTCTTGTACCAGATCTAAGAGTAAAAGATTTCAGTTTTTCCCCATTTAGAATTATGTTATCCGTTGGGTTTTCATAAATGGCTTTTACCAGATTGAAGTAGAAGCCATCTAAAAATATGGAATGCCTCACGAATTTGGGTGTCATCCTTGTGCAGGGGCCCTGCTAATCTTCTCTGTATCATTCCAATTTAATATATGCGCTGCCGAAGCGAGCACTGCCAAAGTATTTTCTACAGAAAGAGTACATATACAAGTGCTGGGACCGGGGTTTGATCCCCAGCACCACATGCCATGCTGGCCTGAGCCCCAGACACACTGAGCTGGCCACTGAGACCAGGCATGGTAACGTATGCCCATAATCCCAGTGCTGGGGAGGCTGAAAACAGGAGAATCACTATGAGTCCAAGCTGCATATTGAGCCCCTGTACCAAAGTTTTTTTAAAAAAAAAGGGCACACATAGCTATTTTTTGTGTTCTTGGGCTATAATTCACATCTAGCTATCTCCCCAAGAGATTCAAGCACCCACACTCAGGACCTTTGGAAAGTGAAGCACTGGGGGCTCTGTATCTGGCTTGTTGTTAGGAGGGGCGTCTGGTTGGAAGGCAGTCACAGGAGGAATGATCCAGAAGGGTGCCTGTCTCTTTTTCTCCTCTCTTCCTTCTCTTCTTCCTGGTCACCACGACGTGGGTGGCTTTCCCCTGCCATTCCCCTTTGCCACACCACTCTGTCTTGTAGTTGGTGAACTGTGGATCCAGTTGTGAGCTCTGATAAACCTTTTTTCCTTTCAGTTGAGGATGTGCATATTTAGTTTCAGGGAGAGCATGAAAAGGTCTGAAATGGAAGGGGGCTGGGGCAGCGGGGCAGGGCCAGGGGCAGCTGGAGGCTGAGGCCCTGTCTTAGGGAGGCAGAGAGGCAAGAAGGGGGCTATCTTGAATCTCCAAGCTCCCGGCTTGGTGCCTCACTGGAATTCACTCAGAAGACACAAGTGGAAAGATCCACTGACAAATAATTTAAAGATGGCAAGAGCAGAGCATAAAACCAAACAAACCATTCATCATAGTGTGGAATTCAGGGTGACTGCACATTGCGGTACATCTAGAAAGCCAGCCCTAGTGGAAGAAGAAGGACGTATTTTTCTTATATTAATTTTATTGAGAAAGAAGTAGCAATGAGACAGTTTCAAAACAGGTTGGTAGGATAGTTGCAATAATTAATACATTGCATATTGTTGTCTTTGTAGTAGTTATTCGTAGTACAAGAGGCAGACATGATAGCTTGTCTAAATGCTATTAGTTCAAAACTTTCTTCTCAGTAAACTAAGAGAAAGTAACTGTACATCTATGCTGATATATATATATATTTTTTTTCCACTACAAAATAGTCCTTCATTTATATCCCCCTTTTTTGTTTACTTTTGTCAGAGATGGGTATTCCATTGCCATTTATGTATTGTAGGTGCGTGAATTCAGCAAAATATTCCAATATAGTCCAGTAGTCCATAATAGTAGTGGGTTATCCATAGGACTGGCAATGTCAGAAGTTGTTGACTTGAGCCTTTTACAGCTCAGCATATTAATATGGCTTTACTTTTTATACCTCATTTTTACACTTTTCTGCTGGATGGTTAAGACCAAGATAAAGCAAGACCTATATAACAAAAAATGTAACTTTTGTATCTGATAAGGTCAGTCAAATCCCCTCAGGTAAGACCTATGTTCTAAGTTCATGTCCTTGAATCAACCTCATCCGTCTAGAAGATGAGAATTTTAACTCCTTCCTCACATCCTAAGATAAACTCCCAGTGGACTTAAGATTTAAAGTTAAAAAGTGGACAAAACAACAGGAGAAAAAAAATTAGGGGGTGTTCATATTACCTTGTGGTGTGGGCAATCTTTTAACCCAAAACAATAAACACAGATATTATAGAAGAAATGATAGTTCTATTTGCCAGCATAAACTTTATGCTTATGGGAAGAATATTTTATAAATGAAGGCAAAAGATCAATGAAAGACTGGGAAAAATTTTCAGCATCTAAAGAAGATAATGGATTAATGTTTTAAATATTCAAGCACCTCTACAAACTAATAAAAGACATCTCAGCTGGGAAATAGGCAGAGCATATGAATAGACAATTTTCAAGTGGAAATCCAAATAATATGTGAAAAGATACTAGGGAAATGTAAATCAGAGGGACAATGAGATCATACTTCTCACATATTACACTAGGAGAAATGAAGCAAAAGTGATACTTAGAGGATACTGCCGGTGAAAGGGCACTAACTCATCTAACTGTTGGAAATGTGAATTGTTACAGAATTTATGGACTGCAAAGTGCTTATGATGCAACATATTTATTTCTGGCGATCTCTGGAAATTAAAGGACCAAGAAAGAAGGATATACTCGAAATGTTTAAGTATTTTAGTTGAGGCAACAAACAGGTAGAAATAGTAACAACCAAATGAGGACCTAAACACTCACCAATAAAAGGCTTATTTAATAAACTGTAACATAGTCATGCTTTGCAGTCATTAGAAAAAATGAGTTATACCTATAGGAATGCATCTAGAGAGCTTTCCAGACAGATGAGGAAAACGTGACACAGAGAACTGTATATAATACAATAATATTTTTGTGTGTGTGCAAAATAATGTTCAAATCCCTAAACTGTGCATGTGTATAGGAAGCATATAGACCTGATATTTGTGGTATTTGGGGCAGGAGTGGAAAGTTATTGGAAGGCAAGCAAAGAGGTTTTGGTGAAAAGAGGTGGGTCTGAATTCATTGAGGAATGTGGATTACTGTGTGGTGGTGGGAGGGTTTGGACATAAGCTTTTTCTAATGCTTATTGAGGTGAACTGGTCCTTACTTATTGCCCCAGCTCCTGACTCTTGGGTTCTAGGGTTAGCAACAACTGGAGGATCATTTCAAGGATGTAAGAATTATACAGATAAGCAAATAAGTCCACCACCCCAACAACAAATGAACAAAACTAAAGATACTTTCAGAGGAAGTTTTTTTGGTCAGGCTTAGCCCGCCCTGAAGGCGAGGCTGGGGCAGCGTGTGATGCCAGGGATTGAACCATGGTCCCCTGGGCCTGCCTAAGCTTGCCCAACCAGGGTTTTTAGACTGCTGAGTTATCTCGCCAGCCCCACTTTCAGATGATTTTTTTTTTCTTTCTGTATTTAGGACAGGGTCTACAGGGTCTCACTACATGGATCAGACTCGTAGTGATTCTCCCGTTTTCAGCCTCCCAAGTGCTGGGATTAGAGGCGCGCACCACCACGCCCAGGCTCAATTGCCGGCTCAGTGCGCCCCGGGGTGCGCTCTGCCTAAGCGCTCTGCCTAAGCGCTCTGCCTAAGCAGGTGCTTCAGTCTGCTGAGCTGTCAGGCTGGCCCTTTCAGAGGAATTTAAAATTGACTAACATCAGATTTTTTCCTCTGAAAGAATGGCTTCCAGAAGGTAGCAGTAGACTGTTTACAGAGATTTTGCCAGAAAAATTCATGATATAGAACTTTAATCTGTCCATGTTGTCATCAACATATAACAGCCAGAGGCATTCTCTGTCCTCCAAAGGCTAAGAAAAATTAACACTCAAGAACCCTTTCTAGGGCTGGCCAAATAGTTCAGCGGATTAAAGCGCCTGCAAGCAGGTACAGGGGCTGGGGTTCAATCTCCAGGCCTGCTGTGCCGGCCCTGCCCCCTGTAATCCCAGCTGAGTTCAATCCCCAACCCTGCCTGCCATGCCAGCCCCAGAACCCTGGGTACTCTCAGACAGAACCCCAGAACCCTCTTTGCTATGCACACCTGTAATCCCAGCTCTTGGGAGGCTGTAAACAGGTGGATCACTGAATCTGACTTAGTAGCGAGATCCTGAACACCCTGTAGACCCTTCCCTAAAAAAAAGAAAGAACGCTTTCGATAAAAAGCATTAGAAATTTTTCCAGCTGATATGAAAATGAGTCAGGAGAGAGTGAGATGATATACTCAAATGGTAGAAGAAGAAAACTGCCAACAATAATATCTATAAAGCTATCCCTCAGACATGAAAGAGAGATGAAGCCTTTCCTAGGTGAAATGAAAACCAAAACAAAAATGTGAGGGAATTCATCACTACTAAACTTACCTTATAGGAAATGCAGAAGGAAACACTTTAAGTGGAAGTTAAAGGATACTAACTGCCAACATGAAAATGTATTAAGGTATAAAACTCACTGAAAAAAGTAATATAGAGTCAAACTGAAAATATTGTAGTGCTTTAATAGTAGTATGTAATCACTTAACTATACTATAAAGATTAAGACAAAAGTATTAAAGATAGCTATAGCTG